TGTTTTGCCTCGGCGAGGTTCAGTTTCAGCTTCTCTCTATCTTCTTTTGAAAGATCTCGTCTTAATGACCACCCTTTCCCATCCTCATCCCTTTGCAATTTTCTAGCATTCCTTAGTACTTCTTCCATCTGTTTGGCACCGTTTAGGGTGATCCTCAAAGGTCGATCTTTCCCTTTTACGTACCTGCCTATTCTCCTGTAGTCGCACACATTCTCTCTGTTTGTAAGACCTTCCACGAGGCCAACAATTTTATCTACTACTTTAGCTTCTTCTACAGCTCTTTCTGACCTAGATGTTATCGCCTTTTCTTTGCAGCCAAAAATGATCAGGGACTTACTCCGATCAACTGTGTTTTGCACCAACTTCGGGTTAGATGCCAATTCTTTCCTCACGTCTAGCCTAATGTTTGTTTTATCTTGGTTGCTGCAGTGTTTGACTTCCTTTACTGCTTCTTATATTTTTTCCTTCTCCTTGGCCACTTGTGCATAAGTGAGTTGCATATCTTTCTTGCACTGTTCTATTCCCTGTGTAACTTCCTCCATCTGTGCTGACAAAAGCTGTTTCTCCTGTTGAATTTCCTTGCCTAACCTATTGTAGTCATTTATGTTTAAATTTACTTTAACTTCTTCCAAAGCTATTTTTAAGAGTTTATTTTCTTCTTCCATGGCTTTGCAATTTGTTTCCAATTGATTCTTATCCTTGCGCAAGTCTTTCACTAAACCCTCAAGACATAAAACTTTGCTATTCAAATGGCTGTTCAGCGTGTGACCACAGCATTGCCTAATAATGTCAAAATATATATATAACTTGTATTATTTAGCCATGATAGTGTTATAGAAGAGCCTGAGTGTGATAATGACTGGGTACAATGTTCAAATATCAGTGATTCAATGCTGTTCACGATGTTCACAGCGCTAACCACAGCATTATTTCGTCCATCTAGGAATCTTCAAATGACTTCTTAGGTTCCTTTTCAAAATAAACGTGTGGTCAATTATTCATTTACAGGAATTAGTGACCAGGATTGTGATAATAGCAGGATTGTGGTTATAATTAGCATTGTGCGTAGTATTGTGGAAGGAGGAATTTTGGTGAGGGAGGGAGGGAGAGAATTGAGGTAGCCTCATTGTGTGTGTGTAGCAGCCACTCTTGTTTTGCTCACCATACTAGCTTAGTGGTTCGCTATGGGCAACACATATGCACATGGGTATATACGTCGTAATCGTAGCGTCGTCTGCTGTCTGCTGTGTGATTTTTCATGCAGTGTATGGTGGCAACTGTATTGTTTGGACACAATACTGGCTTACTTGCATAGTTCTGGTAAATAAAACATGTAGATAGCTATATATAACATGTGTAAATAGTGTAATGAACGAACCTTTATGACATTTGTCCTTTTTTCAAATTTGTTCAATTTGTTTTTCATTTTTTATAGCAAAAGGTTCGTTCAGTGTTTGTCAGGTAAGCTGCTCCATGTTTCTTAAAAAAAAAGAAAAATTTGAACAAATTTGAAAAACTGATAAGTGCCATAAAGCTTCATTCAATGTTTGTCTTGTAGGATGCTCCATTATGACAATCTTTCTTTGTTTCAAATGTGTTGAATTTGTTTTGTATTTTTCATTTATTTATTAATATTGGAGCAGCCTACATAACAAACACTGAACGAACCTTTTTGACATTTGTCCATTTTTCAAATTTGTTAAAAAAAAATTCTTTTTTTTTTCATAAGAAACATCGAGCAGCCTACCCAATGCTTTGCAACATCTCAGCAGTCACTTCTTTACATCCCAGCATCATTAGCATCTTAAAAAAAAAAATATTTGCATCGTCGGAGGCATCCGAGAATGTGAGAGAAACAGCGGGAACGCACCATGTGGTTTTCTTGTTAATCAAACGAGCGCTCGCCAATCGAGACAAATTGTCGGCGTGCTCGTTATTCAAAATGCTCATAAATTGAGGAGCTCGTCACTCGAGGTTCCACTGTACATGTGACGTATTATTTATCGACAAAAGTATTACAGAAGACCCCTGACTGTGATAGAAATGACCAGGATTCTGATAATAGCAGGATTGTTGTGATAATTAGCGCTGTAGTGTATGGTGGGAGGAGTAATGCTGAGGGAGGGAGGGAGACATCATCATCTGCTGGCTCTGTGTGGCTACCTGTTACTGTCTGCACTCACCATACCAGCTCAGTGATTGTCTGTGGTGAACACAAATATAGATACCTACATATAACATGTGTATTAGTGTAATAACAGCAAAAGGATTATGTTGGGAGGAGCCATTTGGGTGACGGAAGTGGCGTCACCTTGTTGTGGTCTGCATGACTTGTCTAACTGTGTAAAGGGTGGCCACTATGCCCTTTGGGCACCATACCAGCTTAGTTGTACAGTTATGGTGAATAAAACATGTAGATACTTATATATGATGTGTGTATATAGTGTAATAACACCACAAAGAGTATTGTTGGGGGAGAAATTTTAGTGCATCTGGCCTTGAACCAGTGAGGGACCACAGGAACCATAGGGAACCATGTATGTAGCACAGTGCTAATTAACACAACAATCCTGCTATTATCAAAATCCTGGAAATTTTATCACAGTCAGGGGGGTCTTCTGTAATACTATTATTGTTAACACTCACCCGGGCATAGCGCAGCATTGCGTCATCCGTTTACTGTCGGTAATGCGGGGGATGACGCAGCATTGCGTCATCCACTTTAAATAATCGCCAAAAATCAGGTTTTTATCCGATTTTTTTGGAACTGGTTTTAAAATGCGCGCCGATGTCTTCACACTTTCTTTGTTGAGCCTCGTGGCCCTCAGGCGGCTTGGCACACGCCGTGGGCCCATTGTTTTCGCTCCACTGTTGTGACCAATGTCGCCTCCCCTCGCATCTCAAACGTGTGAACATTTCGGCTATTTTCCGTGGCTATATTTCTTACTGCGGCTTTAGAAACTATCTACGCTTACTCCACGATGGATAGTGATCACGAACAAGGCCCTTCCAGGAAGAAAATTGCGAAAGAAAGGTTTGAAAAGGGCGGGAATTGGGAGTGTAGCTGGAAGGCGTCTGACCGCTCACTTGCGGCTAACGCGTGGCCCGTCTTCAACTCGTCATCGGTTGGAGCGTGACCAAGTTTTTTATTTTATATGTTAATGTTCCTCTAGAGAATTCTATTGTAAACCCATTGAGACCAAAATGAAAGACCTTGGACGAAAATTGAGGTGACCAGAGTGAAAATAGTGAAAACATTTTATCGTGTTTGCGAGCTCCTGGGTAACTCGTTCGCACTTTCTCTGTTTGCTGCGGGTAATTAGCCGGGCTTTTGGAGTTTATATGCATTTAGTGCTGTAGAGAATTCTATTGCGAACACAATGATACAAAATTTAATCTCGTAGGACGAGAATTAAGGTGACAAAGTTGAAGAGAGTATACACTTTTCAGAATTTACTTGCGCTCCCGTGACACCCTGGGACCCATATCGCACAGTTGAGGGGTGGCGCGCGGGGTACGCCAAAGTGTTAAATAATACCAGTTACATATATTTTTGCCATTTTTAGGTGATGCTGTAGTCACAAGCTGAACAGCAGTGCTAGTAGCTCATGCTGCATACACCAGCCTTGGTTGCTTACTCACTACTGAGGCCTTCACACCCAGGAATGTTGCCCACAATTTAACAAAAAATTGGCGTCTGTTTATCAGGGCCCTGAGAAAACTGATGTGAACCTCGTGTAGCTGCGGGACTTTTAAATCTTACGCCGCACTCCCAACCACTCATAGCCTTGGTGCACTGTCCCCCAATAGTTACTCACCCCAGCTATAAATGTATTGTGCCCTTTAAGGGTTAATGCTGACAAGTGTAAGATTTTGAGGCTAGGTAATGATGATAGAGTTACAAGATACGAGCTAGATGGTGTTGAGATTGCGAAGTTGGATTGCGAAAGGGATCTGGGAGCTATGATTAGTAAGAATTTAAAACAAAACGAATCAATGCATAAATGTTTGTAATAAGGCAAATAGGACACTGGATTTATTTATCAAAGAGTTAGTAATAAGATACCTGGTATTGTTCTTCAGCTGTATCTTGCTCTGGTTAAGCCCCATTTAGATTATGAAGTTCATTTGGGCGCTGTTCTATACAATGGATATAAATTCACTAGAATGCATCCAGCATAGGATGACAAAGTTAATCCCCCAAATTAGAAACCTGTCATATGAAGAAAGATTGACAAAGCTTAAATTACATTGTCTAGAATGGCAAAGAATTATGGGTGACATGATAGAGGTGTACAAGTGGATGAATGGACATAAAAAAAGGGATATTTATGGGGTATTTAAAGTATAAACACAAGACAGAACACAAAACAATGGGGTATAAATTGGATAAGTTTTGATTTAGGAAAGATTTGGGTAAATGCTTGTAAGGTAACAGGGTTGTTGATTTGTGGAACCAATTACTGCATAACATAATAGAAGTAGGATCCCTTGATTGTTTCAAGCGTAGGTTAGACATATATATGAATGAGATTGAGTAGATATACATAGGAGCTGCCTCGTTTGGGCCAATAGGCCTTCTGCAGTTACCTTTATTCTTATGTTCTGAGGTTCTTATGTTGCAGTGTGTGTTTGTGTGCTATACTGTATTATCAATTTTATAAGTGCAGTACTAATTTTGTAATAAAAAGCTAAAAGCTGTTTGTCAAAAATTGGAGAAATTTAATTTTGATCGTAGATATGACATCTTATTCCTAAAAGTGTTGAACCTTGTGCCAAGAAATGACTAAGTGTAATTGTTAATATCACAGAATGATCTCCAAGAATTGGTTATATGTAGCAAAAGTGTTTTCATTACCACATTGCAGAGGTGCAGAAGAGTGCTATGTGGTGGCAGTAAGTACACAAGTCCAACACTGCATTTACATTTAAATATTTTATTTTGTATTCTTTTTCATTTTTATATATCTGTGCATTTTTTAAAATATATAATTTTACAGGTTTTTCTGCAATAAAACATCGAATGTGTCATTCTGTTAGTCAGATTGGGGAACAGAGTCAAGATATGTCGACACTGGTTAAAGAAAATCGACCTCAGCGATTTATTCGAGCTGGGCAACCCACTCCTCACACACATCCACATCTTGTCCAACCTGGCGAGGTCATTATTACTTAAAATTCTTTGAATGTCATGAATTTGTTTGGATCATAATGCTGTTATTTGCACTGTCTGAGAGCTAAAGTAAAAGCCTTTTACATGTATAAAATGAATTTTCTGTGGGGAGCCCTGTTGGCTCCCTGAAACTATCCGAACTGATGTAGTGCTATATTAGTTGGGATCATCAGTCAAAGAGTACTTATGCCTACCAGGAACCACAAGCCAGAACGTGGCCCCCTCAGAGGCATAGGGAGCAATGGCCTATGAGCACTTTACATTTAAAGTATGTCATATTTGCTATCGACCAGGGAAGGCCCCAAAAAGGTAGGCAAATCAAAACAGACCACTGTCTGGGTGAAAATTGTGAGCTACATCTTCAAAATAGCAAAAGAACTCCCCCAGAAAGAAAACAAACAAGCAACACTTCATCCAACTACCCCTCTCTCATTAACCCTTAAATGGTGCATGGCTATATACCATTTGACACCCACAGGCACATACAAAAAAAAAAAATATTTTTTCTTCCTAACCTGTTAATTTGTATTCACTGATCATGGGAAAAATGATAAAAAAATCATAAGTGGCATATATTGCCTGCTATAGGGCGGGGAAGTCTGGCAAAAAACAAGTGCTGACTCAGCATGCGTCCCAAGCGGTCTGTTGCTTGCCAGCTGTCAGGCCGGAGTTGCCACAAAGAGATAATTACCTAATTATTTCAATGTCTCTGATTGATTTTTTTGTAGTTTTTTTGCTGTATATATTCAATAGTGTGTAGTGTAATATATTTATATAATAAAATGAGTGAATCATTGCTGTACTCAAAAATATGGTGTGCATATTGTTGATTCAATTATATTCATCAAACAGTGAACAAATACTTTGTCGGTTATTACACTATATACACGGGTTATATATAAGTATCTGCATGTTTTGTTCACCATAACGAACCACTAAGTTGCTATTATGAATCATAAAGTAACGAGGAGTGACCGCCACACACCAGCCAGCCACTCACGCCCTCCCTCAGCACCTCACTCACCCACATTCTCCTCCCACCATACTGTTTTTGCTTTTATTCACTATATACAGACCCTATATATAAGTATCTACATTCGTGTTCACCATAACAAACCACTAAGTTGGTATGCTGAGTGGCAGTGGCAGCCAGAGGCAGCCCGCCACTGGCTGCCACTCCCTCCCTCCCTCACCTCACCTGACTTGCCACAATTCTCCACCAACCATACTGTTTTTGCTTTTATATACAGACGTTTTATATAAGTATTTACATGTTTTGTTCACCATAACTGTATGGTGAGTAAAGGCACAAAGATGTAGTACCTCACACAGTCAGCTGGCTGCCGCCCTCAAGGTCAGACGCACTAATATTTCTCCTCCAACAATACTGTTTGTGGTGTTATTACGCTATATACACACATTATATATAAATATCTACCTGTTTTATTCACCATACTTGTACAAGTAAACTGGTATGGTGCCCAAAGACCACCGTGGTCACCAGTAAACAACATGATAAATCGTCCAGACGACACCACCGTCCTCACCAAAATGGCGGCTCCCAACCTACTCCTCTTGCTCTTTATACCCTCTATACACACGTTATATATAAGTATCTACATTTGTATTCACCATAGCGAACCACTAAGCTGGTATGGTGAGTGCAGTCACTAAAAGGTGGCCACACACAGTCAGAAGACAATGCCACCACCCTCCTTCCCACAGCATTACTCCTCCCTCCATGCAGCACAGCGCTAAATATCACCACAATCCTGCTATTATTAGAACCCTGGTCAGTTTATCACAGTCAGGGGTCTTCTGTAATAATATCGCTACATAATAGCATGATCAAGTATATTATGGCATTTCTGGGGGGAGCCCCGTCGGCTCCCCGGAGCTTTACCAGGCTGATATGCTAATGTCAGACTTAGGCATCAGTCATGTGTATGGAGTTCTAGGGCCTACCGGGGACCTGGCCCCCTCAGAGAGGCAAGGGGAGCAATGGCCTATAGAAACCCCCGTGTGGTAGGAAGCATTCTATGTCTGCCATCGACCGGGTCAAGCATCCAGAAAGGTAAGCATTCCAAAACAAACCCCTATTCTGGTGAAAATTGCTACCTAAAGCCGAACTAGTGGATAGAACTCTTCAACAGAAAACAAGGAAACTAGTATGACGCCATACGTCACCGCGCCGCTGTTTGCGCAGCTCCCCCCTCCCCGGGAGTGGGAAGGGGGAGCCCCAGACCTCCCACGCCGGCTATCCACCCATCAGTTCTTCGGCTGATGCTATAGGCACCGGTTATGTGCTCTGGCTCCAGTGGTTGTTTCAGCACTGTACCTAGAGTGTGGTGTCTGTTTTCTAGGTGGTGTGTGCGCCGGGAGTGATTCTCCAGTACTCGGGCTGCATGCGCCTAGGGTTCCCTTCCCTAGGTGCCCTGTAAGTACTGCCCTTGGGGCTTGGGGCTGCCTTCCACAAGTTCCTTGGGTCCTGCCCCTGCTTGACCGTTTACTGCTTGGTTTTCGGTCGCTCTTTGTGTGCTCGGGTGTTCTGTCTCCCTTGTTCGCCTTAGAGTAAGGGGCAGTTTTTGCACTGGTGGGGCGCAGGGTACTGTGCAGCTTGTCTTTACCAATCATAGTGGCCGGCCCTGTTCCGCCTGGGTACGCTGTCCTCTTACGGGGTTTTCTTTTTCTTTTTGTTTATCTACCTGGTGGGGGGTCTGCCTTCGTTCTTGCCCCTTGTGTCCTTTGGGTTCTGAGTATTTTCTGGTGGTACCCCCTGCTAGGTCCTCGTGAGTGTACACGTTCCGGGGGTTCAGCTCTTAGAAAGTTGTCTGGTAGCTTTGGGTGCCGGTTAGCAGTACCCTGCCTGGGATTACCTGAGCGCGAGTCCTCTTATAGTAAACGCTCGGGACCCTGGGAAACCCCTGGGGGCGCGCGGGTCCGATGGATGTGACCACAGAGTCCCCCCTCTCACTTCCAGCGAGTTTGAGGGTTGCTCTCACCCTTTGTCTCTGGGTGACTCTCTGTTTTGCCTCCGTCTGCTGCCTGTGGGGTCGGTGACACCTTCGACCCGGAGTCCTGCGAGTTTGGTTGCTCGTTGTGGCTCGGTTACCCAGTTGTGCTGACTAAGCGGGTGCGGGCAGCAGGGGCGTTGCACTTGAGCCCCGGGAGCTCCGGGGCTGCCCCGTTGTAGTTCGTTTTGGGACTTGGGGGTGTTGGTTGCTTCGGTTCCTTCCACGCCCCCTTGTCTTTCCCCTGGATCACCCTTCCTGCCTGCATCCGGTTCCTTACCGTCTGTAGGTTCGGGGCGGGGTTTTTGATGTTGAGACTCGGGCAGTCTCGGGGAATTCCCCTTCCGGGGTAGTGATGGGGGCATTTGAGCCTGTTCCTCCAGCCGTGTTGTATGAGTCTGCCAGTGGGCTCCCTTCCTTAGTGTTTTCACGGCTGCCCCGGTTTTCTGGTACGGCCGTGGCTTTGGGGAAACGGCTCGGCCCCGGGGCCTGTCGTGTAGGTTCCCGGGGCTGGGGAGGGGCTGACCTGGGGGGCCTTGGCCCCGTTGGACCCTGTGGGTTTTTTTTATCCCCCTCTAGGCGGGGCTTGTGGTTACGCGGAGTGGGGTCTTTCCTCCCACTTGCCATACGTACTGTTGGGCGTCGGCCTCTCCCTGGGCTCGGTTCCTTGGCCTTTGAGTCGGTTGGTTCCATCCTGTGGGTGGTTGTTTCCTCCCACCCTATTTTTTGGGATGGTGTTTTCATCATGTTTCCCCGTTCGATGGGGTTCTACGTGACTTCTGATCTCGGGTGCACTTGCGCCTTTGTGTGCCTTCGGGACTAGTGTTGGCTTCTGTGTTCTCGAGGGTTCGGGAAGGCTTTTCGCTACTTCCCGCATTATTGGAACGTCTGTCGGCTCCTCATCCTTGTCGCCGTTTTGGGCTACTTGTGGCCCAGTTGGGCTACTTGTCACCCTATTGGGCTTCTTGTCGCCCTGTTGGGATACTTGTCGCCCTGTTGGGCTACTTGTCGCCCTGTTGGGCTACTTGTCGCCCGGTTGGGTTCCTTTCTGGGGGGAGCCCCGTCGGCTCCCCGGAGCTTTACCGGCTGATATGCTAATGTCAGACTTTGGCATCAGTCATGTGTATGGAGTTCTAGGGCCTACCGGGGACCACGGCCAGAACCTGGCCCCCTCAGAGAGGCAAGGGGAGCAATGGCCTATAGAAACCCCCGTGTGGTTGGAAGTATTCTATGTCTGCCATCGACCGGGTCAAGCATCCAGAAAGGTAAGCATTCCAAAACAAATCCCTATTCTGGTGAAAATTGCTACCTAAAGCCGAACTAGTGGATAGAATTCTTCAACAGAAAACAAGGAAACTAGTAAGACGTCATACGTCACCGCGCCGCTGTCTGCGCAGCTCCCCCCTTCCCGGGAGGGGGAAAGGGGGAGCCCCAGACCTCCCACGCCGGCTATCCACCCATCAGTTCTTCGGCTGATGCTATAGCAACGGTTATGTGCTCCGGCTCCAGTGGTTGTTTCAGCACTGTACCTAGAGTGTGGTGTCTGTTTTCTAGGTGGTGCATGAGCCGGGAGTGATTCTCCAGTACTCGGGCTGCATGCTCCTAGGGTTCCCTTCCCTAGGTGCCCTGTAAGTACTGCCCTTGGAGCTTGGGGCCACCTTTCACAAGTTCCTTGGGTCCTGCCCCTGCTTGGCCATTTACTGCTTGGTTTTCGGCCGCTCTTTGTGTGCTCGGGTGTTCTGTCTCCCTTGTTCGCCTTAGAGTAAGGGGCTGTTTTTGCACTGGTGGGGCGCAGGGTACTGTGCAGCTTGTCTTTACCAATCATAGCGGCCGGCTCGGTTCCGCTTGGGTACGCTGTCCACTTGCGGGCTTTTCTTTTTCTTTTTTGTTTATCTACCTGGTGGGGGGGTCTGCCTTCGTTCTTGCCCCTTGTGTCCCTTGTGTTCTGAGTATTTTCTGGTGGTACTAGGTCGAGGG